TCAAAAGATCAAATTTTGTTGTAAAGATTATTGTGAACTCAAAATAAACAGGATACAATGTATAACTAATTACAGGTTTAAGATTTTAAAAATGATTTTACTTGATTCATAGCTATTACACATTGTTTTTGCTCTGTTAATTTCATTTTGCATTTTCCTTTTAAACTTTGTAACTAGTACCTTTTAGTGTTTGGCAGAGGTACTCTTATAATAATAATAATAAAAAACATGTGTTAATTTGAGATAATAAGCCATCATACCAGACATATAGTATATAATGCTGACTTCTAATACTAATACTGACCCTGATTAAATGAAAGGGGTAACTGTAGAATTATAGATATTGAAGCTGTAACCTGTTACTCCCTCTTTTTATTTTTTAAAAAATACTCTTTTTTAAATACCTTTATTTCATTTGATTTATTTATATGTGGTGCTGGGGATCAAATTCAGTGCCTCATGCATGCTAGGCAAGCGCTCTATCACTGAACCACAACCCCAGCCCATGTTACTCCCTCTTTAAGACTAGTAAAACTGGCTTTTTGGGTGTTTAAAACCAAAAACTTGGAGACCAAAGTCAAGGAAATAAAAGGGCCAAGGAAAAAGCTGCCAACATTTTGTCCCTTGCCCTTTAAGGTCAACCAGGACCCAGAGAATAATGGGACCCCTTTCTGGTCCCTGCAACTCTGAGTCACCCAATCTGCTGAGCAGGGAAATGGAGAAGACCCTAGAGAACAGAAAGCAAACCAGTGCACATTCTGCAGAGGAGGGTCATTGGAGAAGGAAATGTCCCTGATGCTTTCAAGAGAAGCCACATATGGTCAGCCAGATCCTGACCCATCCTGGCAAGTGGCATCACTGGTAAAGAAAAGCTAAAAAAGGCCAAAGGCTTTATACATGTTTCCAAGAGTGATCTCTGAGGAATCTCAGTTTATTCTTAAGAGTGGTTAGAAACAAGGTCGGTTTTGACCAACTTAGTCTTAAACACCTGTCAGGAGAGTATAGCCTGAGCACAGTCCTACATGGACATTTAAAAGGAAAAACAATCTTTTTTTTTTTAAATATAACTTAAGATGTACAGTTGTGTTAGTCCAACCAAAAGTAAAGCTTAAAGTATAAAGGAACAGTCATTGTATGGAAGAGCCTAATAATAATGATCACATAAGACTCTAGAGTCACAAATTTATCCTGAGTTAATTTGAGTCTGATCTCATAGACCTACAAATCTTCCTACCTCCTACATTGATAAACTTGAATTGTTTTTCACCAATAAGATTATAATTACTGTCCTCATGGTTTTCAGAGACTGACTGAAATGCTAATTGTTTACAAAAAAGTAATGCTTTGCTGTCTGGTTTATTGTTGTCTTAGCATGATCCCTGCCTTATGTATGCCTTGTCCAGTCACCTGCCGTGTGCCACTGTGGACCTCTGGACTGCTCTGATGCTGAATGTCCTTAACTCTTTACACCCCATATGATTGAGAACAAGGACTTTGGGTTACTTCCCCCAACTTCACCCCCTTTCAGCAGGAAGTGGTTTGGAGATGTCATAGCCCGTTTTTCCATAGAAATCGAATGTAGAAATTGACAGTGGGGAAATGTAACAATGGTCCACTTTTGCTTTGAATATAGCTCTTGCTGTTCTGTCACTACAACTTATTTTTTAAATGGACATGATTCTTTCTCTTCCTTTCTCCCTGCTCCTCCCTAATCTCTCCCCCTCCCTAATCTCAGAGGAAACAGAATTACCTTTCTTCACCATCCTAGGCAGAATTATCTCTCTGTGAGTACACACCTACCATAGGAACAAAGTAATCCAGAAGATCTTAGAAATGACTATCTCCCAAATAAACAAGTGAATTACAACTCCAGACAGAGACATGTGGGAATGTAGTCTTTTAGTCACTTCTGTAAAAGCTCCCTGTTCCTGCTGATGAGAAGAATCACAGCCTTTGGGACTGGCATCCTCTGTGTTTCTCTGCTAGCAAAGTAATAAACCTTCTTTCTCCTTTTTCTCAAAACTGTGTCTTTGTTATTGGATTGGCATTGGAGACAAGGATCAAGCTTTCAGCAACAATCTAATACTTACTTTTTTTTGATACCAGATATTGAATTCAGGGCACTTAACCACTGAGCACTGAGCCACATTTCCAACCCTTTTTATTTTGAGGCAGGGTCTCACAAAATTTCTTAGCCTTGCTAAATTGCTGAGGCTGGCTTTGTACTTGTGATCCTCCTGCGTCAGCCTCTTGAGCTGCTGGGATTACAGACATGCACCACTTTGTGGGACTCAATACATCTTTATCTCCAACATCTACAATCTATGCTGGTATTGCCCTTTTTTTATGATGATGGAAATATTCTATGTCAATCCTGTTCAATATTATGGCCTCTAGACACATGTGAGTATTTGAAGTATAGTTAGTGCATTTGATTCAATTTTAATCAATTTAAATGTGTCTAGAGGATAGCATATTGGACATCAGAGGTCTAAATGATTAATTGAGACACTTGATGAGTATCTCCTAAAGTGTACAAGCACTTCCAATGTCATACAGGTTGAGCATCCCTAATCTGAAAATCCCAAATCTGAAATGCTCCAAAATATAAAACTTTTTGAAAGCCAATGTGATGCCACAAGTGGAAAATTCCACACCATGAAAATTTTTGTTTTCTAAAATATTGTATAAAAGGATCTTCAGGCTATGTGAATAAAGTGTGTAGGAAACATCAGTGAATTTCCTATTTAGCTTTGAGTCCCATCCCTAGGATAATTCTGTATTTATGTAAATATTTCAAAAATCCCCCAAAACTTTCAAATTCCAGAACACTTATAGTCTTAAGCATTTTGGATAAGGTATACTCAACCTGTAGATCATTTTTTGCACCCCACTGCACTCCTAATGTTCCCATGTTTAAAATGTTATGATCTTGCCAAGCATGGTGGCACACACTTATAATCCCAACAGCTCAGGAAACTGAGGTAGGAGGATCACAATTTCAGATCTCACCTCAAAGCTTAACTAAGCCCTAAGTAACTTAGCAAGACTCTGTCTCAAAATTAAAAAAAAAATTAAGGGGAGGGGGTTTATGGATATGGCTCACTGGTTAAGCACCTCTGGGTTTATTCTCTGATACCAAAGAAAGAAAAGAAAAAACCCAAACAAACAAAAATTAAAATGTCATGATCTTGACAATCTTTCAGGGTTAAAATTGAGAAGCAATTTATTCATTTCCTAACATATGTGAAGCACTTACTATACACACCAAGCCATACACTAAATTAATGCAGTTCTTATAAGAAATTATAACATTTATAATTAACTCTTTGCATCAGGAAAATGTTTAGTCCCTTCTCCTTCCACCTCACCTCTGACCTCCCACATCCAAACATTCACTCTCCTCTCTTCCTCATTCCCTTTCATTTGTTCCTGAGAGCAGAGATTTTTTGTGTCTTCCATTTACTGCTGTACCCATCATGTCTAGAGGAGTGCATATGGTGGTGGAGGTGGGCGATAAGTGTTTGGGAAATGAATCCATGTCTTCTTCCTGCTCTGATCATTTTATTTCCTCCCTCTTTCCCACCAACCATTAACATGACTTATCTATGTCAGAAAACTACCATAAATTTACAGGAGACATTTAAAGCCTTGTTCTCAAAGTTTGGTCCTCTGTCCAACAGCTGCGACATCACCTGGGATCTTGTTAAAAATTCAGGATCTCAACACCCTACACCAGAATAACTAAATCAGAACATACTTTTTTAAATAAGCCCTCCCCAGGGTGATTTGTATGCATATTAAAGTTGGAGAAACACTGCTCTAAAATGCAGATTTAAGTGCATTTTTACCTAGCTTTAAAAATCTTTAAATTTTCTTTAATTGTATATAGAATCATGTTTGTGCAAAATATTCAACCAGCATGTAAAACCCTGTCCACTTTCCACCCTTTTCTCTCATTGCATTCTCTGAACTTCAACATGCCCTTCAGTTTAGTGTCCTCATCTCTTCTAAAACACATCAATACTTTTCTCCTTCCCACGCTTTTCCCAAATCTATTCCCTCCTGAAAAGAGCCTTACATCACCCTCCTCCCTCCTCTATCCACAACATTCACCTTCAAAATGCTACCTCTCGGGGCTGGGGATGTGGCTCAGTGGTAGAGCGCTCGCCTAGCACATACAAGACCCTGGGTTCGATCCTCAGCACCACATAAAAATAAATAAAGGTATAGAAAAAAAATGCTACCTCTCCTCTGAAGCACAACTCACCCTGAGGTTTTCCAGAAGGGATTTTACAGATTAGCCTACCTCCCATGACTTCAGCAATAGCCAAACTTCTTTCCTCTCTCTCTTTCTCTCTCTCTCTCTCTCTCTCTCTCTCTCTCTCTTTTTTTTTTTTTTTTTTTTTTTTTTTTTGACACAATCTCACTAAGTTGCCTAGGGTCTCATTGAATTGCTGAGACTGGCTTTGAACTTGCAATCCTGCCTCAGCCTCCCCAGCTGCTAGGATTACAGGTGTGAGTCACTCATCCAGCCCTCACCTGCTCTTTACTCCTTTTTTTAAAATTTTTTTTTAAATTGTAGATGAACACAATACCTTTATTTTATTTATTTATTTTTATGTGGTACTGAGGATTGAACACAGTGCCTCACACATATAAGGCAAGTGCTCTGCTGCTGAGATAGGGCCCCAGCACCCTCTCTTTTGTAACATTCTATTTCCTTGAAGTCATGTATCTATCTGTCTAAATGTCTCCCTCATTTCATCTCAAGCTCCTGGAGAGTGGGGATGGTGTTTTATTTTTCCTCAATGTTAGTACATGGCCATATATAAAAGGTGCACTATCTTGTTAAAATGAATAGAAGGGTAAAGGCTCTGTAGTAATCTCTGGGAAGACATTCATAGGCATTGACTCAGTTCCCCTCTCCCCTCTATCCAATTCCTCCCACAGCACACAGAAAGGAGCAGTGAGTTTCAAGGAAGAGTTACATCACATACCTCTGAGTCTGTCTCAGCTGCCACCTGCTTCCAACCCCTGCACCTAGAAAACAGTACCCAGACCCCACTAACAAGGAAACTAAATAATAGTAGAAGGCTGAGATATGGTGGCAGTGGAATAGCCAGTCCCCAAATTGGCGCCATTACTCAACCCCATGCCCTTCTCAACCAAAGTTTCTGCCTCAAGACTGGGCCTCCATATGACATCACAATAGGAATTCCAAGGTGAATCTGACAGGATCCAGCCAATGTGCATGCTCTGACACCATCTGCTGCCCCTTCCTGCACTGCCCAGGGCTCTGCTGTGACGGTCAAAGAACAGGGAAGGACTCATTTACCACTCTCCTAGGATTAGGCTGGACAACTTGTCATTATGTAGAGTGTAATGAGGCAGAGTTTCAAAGGAGCAGATCTTCCAAGTGTTTTGTTCTTCCCCACAGACATTTTCTCTCAAGCCAATCACTTCCTAAAGGGTCAGGTGTGGGGTCATATGTTCCAAACTACTATGCACAACTTTAATGCTCTAATATAAATTAATTAATTAATTAAAATAAAACTTACAAAACAAAAAATGCAGGGTCAAATAAATCTAAGAAAGCTAGGATAGTTGAAGTAGGTACTTTCAGAAAATTTGAAGGACATGATTTCCTGAGTCCATGGCTTAACACATTTCCTAGCTGCTGTTGTACCAAAACAGAAGAAATGTCACAGAGGGAGATGAAATAATTTTAGAGGATCATTCCACCCCAGAACGTATGGTCTCATTTTCAAGTCTGTATCACTTATTTTACCCTCAGAGGTGACTGGCTTCTCTAAGGTTAATGCACTGCAAACAAAATTTATAAGGAATCAATTTTTATTATAATTAAGATTAATAAAACTGATTTTAACATTCTCTCTTCTTATAAGAACATTAATTTGGAAAATCAATCCAATGTACTATTGAATAGCAGACATTATTTTATTTTATTTGGTACTGGGAATTGAACCCAGGGATGCTTAACCACTAACAAACACACTGTTTGAGAAGACAGACATGGTCTCTTACCTTAAAGAGTTTCAGTCTACAAAGGCAACTTAAATAATATTCTTTGAAAGCCCATCATGAAGAAAGTTATTAAATAAATATGGTCTTAAAATACTCTTCATTCAGTACGGGAAAGATAATTTTAAAGAATGAGCTGGGCATGGTGCTATATTTGTAATCCCAGCAGCTCAGGAGGCTGAGGCAGGAGGATCACAAGTACAAAGCTACCCTCAGCAACTTAGTGAGCCCTAAACAACACAGAGAGACCCTGTCTCAAAATAAAAAATAAAAAGGACTGGGGATGTAGCTTGGTAGTTAAGCACCCTGGGTTCAATCTCTGATAAAAAATAATTAATCAATTAAAAATAAATAAGAATGATGGGCTAGGATTGTGGCTCAGCGGTAGAGCACTCGCCTAGCACAGGCAGGACCTGGGTTTGATTCTCAGCAACACATAAAAATAAAGTCATTGTGTTGTGTCCATCTACAAAAAAAAAAGATTCTCATTCTCTCTCTCTCTCTCTCTCTCTCTCTCTCTCTCTCTCTCTCTCATTCCCTCCCTCCCTCTCCTTTAAAAAAAAATATATTAATATATATATATAAATACGAATGAGATGTTATGTAAACTGAGCTCAGTGGCAGAGTGCTTGCCTAATATGTGAGAGTCCCTGAGTTTGATCCCCAGCACTGTAGGAGGGGAAAAAAATGTGGCAGGTACTAGTAGGTACTAGTTAATATGCAGCCTGGAGTTCAATAGAAGATGAGGACTGAAGGTATAGTTTGAGGTTCTTTAGACATATGTGTGCAGTTTGACCAGTACCTTTCTACATATGTGCTATGGTTTGGATATGGCTTAAAGTGTGTCCCCAGAAGGATAATTCCTCCCATGCATTAAAATTTAATTCCCATTGAATACTGGTGACTTTTCAAGAAGAGGGAGAGAGGTCAAAATAGCCTTGCACACACAAACATGCTCCCTGTCTCTTGCCATGTGATACCCTGTACCACATCAGAACTGCTAGCAAGAAGGCCATCCCAGATGCATGGTCCCTCAACCTCGGACCAGAACGGTGAGCCCAAATAAAGCTCTCTCTTGATGAAGTAGCCTGCCTCATGTATTTTGTTATGGTAATACAAAATGAGCCAATATAATACATATGTTAAAATATATTATTTATGTCTTAAATATTTACTTACCACATTGGGCATGTACCTCGTTGTAGATTCCCTACTAGGCATGGAGCCCCGGGTTCTATCCGCTAATAAAATTAAAAATAAAAATTCTATGGACTGGGGTTGTGGCACAGTGGCAGAGCGCTTGCCTAGCACGTGCGAGGCACTGGGTTCAAGTCTCAACATCACATATAAATAAATAAAGGCCCATCAATAACTAATAAAAATATTTTAAAAATTCTACACGTTTAGCTGTTTACAGTGGTGCACGCCTGTAATCTCAGTTGAAGCTAACCTCAGCAACTTAGTGAGACACTGTGTCAAAATAAAAAATATAATGGGCTGGGTATGTGGCTCAGAGGTTGAATGCCCCTGGGTTGAGTTCCTGGTAGCAAAAAAAAAAATCTACATGATTAAAAATTATATTCTGCAGGTGATAGAAATAGTGTTTCCATGTGTCCATTCATTCAATTTTTCTCATCTTAATGCTCAAGCCTATATTATTCCTAAGCTTTTGTCTGATTTTCCATCAGTTACTAAGACAGATATGTAAAATCATTTGCATGAATTTATTTCTTCTTTGATATCTTTAGATTTTAATTTATTTATTTGTAATTATTTTTAAAATCATAATATGTTCCTGGTGAATTATCACTATGAAGACCTTCTTTTATCACTATGAAGACCTTCTTTCTCTCTAGAAACACTTTGTCTTAAATTAGAGACTTGCTAAATTGCTGAGATTGGCTTTGAACTTGTGATCCTCCTGCCTCAGCCTCTCTGAGTTGCTGGGATTACAGGTGTGCACAACTGCGCCTGGCTCTTTTTTCCATTTTTACTTTCAATCTTTCTATATCCTTTAAATACTGGATATAAAACAAACAAAATCTAAATATATGCTAATTACAAGAGACATATCAAGAACAAAAAATGCATTTGACTCAAATGTATGTCAAGATCATTGTATTGTCATGAGCAACTAATAAAAAAAGAAAAAATGATTTTAATTAGAGCATGTAATCCATTTACACTTAATGCAATTACTATAATACCAAATCAAAATCTTACTTTGTTCTTTCTAACTTGTCCTGTTTTGTTTCTTTTTCTCTCCTTTCTTGCTTTGTATTTAGATGACTATTTTAAAATTACTCCATTTTCCCCTTTACTAATTGGAAATTAGACACTCTGGTTTTATTCTTTTCATGTAGGAGTTAACAAACTATGGTCTGTGATTTAAACCTAGCCTGCTGCCTGTTTTGGCAAACAAAGACATATCTTCATACATCATGCCCATTTTATGTATTGTCTATGGCTGCTTTCATGCTACAACAGAGTCAAGTAGATACACAGGGCTGTCAGCCTGCAAAGACCAAACTATTCACTATTTATTGCTTTATAGAAAAAGTTTGCCAATGCTACTTTTAATGGGTTTCTTTTTCTTTTCCTTCCTTCTTTCATCCTTCCTTCTTTCTTTCTCTTATTGAACTTTACCAGAGACCCTTTACCACTGAGTTACATCCCTAGCCACTTTTTAATTTTTATTTTTGAGATGAAATTGCCAAGGTTGACTTCCAATTTGCGATCTTCCTGTCTCGGCCTTCCAAGTAGATGGGACTGCAGCCACATACCACTGTGCCCAGCTATTTCTTTTTCTCCCATCCTCCCCACCATGGTGCTGGGAATCAAACTCAGGGCCTCCCACATACTAGGCAAGTACTCTGCCTACACAAATCCAAGTGGAAATCTCCCCCCTCCCTCAGAACCAGGGATTGAACCCAGGGGTGCTTTACCATTGAGCTACATCTCCAAACCTTTTTATTTTGCTTTATTTTGAAACAGGGTCTTGATAAATTGTCCAGGCTAACCTTAATCTTGTAATCCTCCTGCCTCAGCCTCCAGAGTACCTGAGATTACAGGTATATGCCATTGTGACCCACTCTGGTAGCTATTCTTTAAAAATGCAATATGCACACTTAAGTTTTAATCAAGACCTTTATCCTCTTTTGGGGGGAAGTATCAGGGATTGAATTCAGGGGCACTTAGCCACTGAGCCACATCCCCAGTCCTATTTTTTTATTTTATTTAGAGACAGGATCTCACTGAGTTGCTTAGCACCTTGCTATTGCTGAGGCTGGCTTTGAGTTCTCGATTCTCCTGTCTCAGCCTCCGGAGTCACTGGAGTCACTGTGATTACAGGCATGTGCCACCAAGCCCATCCAACCTTTATCCTCTGATGGATAATTCAAGGCCCTTAAAATATTTTAGCTCCATTTACCCCTTCCCATATATTATATGTTAATGTAGTCAGGAATTTTAGTATTTTTTTTTTTACAGAAGAGTTATGGAGATAGTACGTCAGTCCCCACATCCCTTTCACCTTTCTTGCCTGATGCTAATACTACATAACTTTGGTGCATTTGTCAAAACTATGATGTGGACATTGGTACATTTAGCCATTAATTGAATTTCAGACTTCATTTTTATTTTAAATTTTCCCACTAATATCTTTATCTGTCCAGGAACCAACAAAGGGTACCACATTGCTTTTTATATGTATGTGGTACTTGGGATTGAACCCATGGGGCGCTTTGCAACTAAGCTGCATCCCACCCACCCCTGCGTTTTCAGGTTGGCCGGGAACCTGCAATCCTCCTGCCTCAGCCTCCCAAGTCACTGGGATTACAGGTATGGGTTACTGCAGGCTACCACATTGCATTTAGTCCTTCCCCTCCCCGCTCCTCCCCCCCCCCCAGTACTGGGGATCAAACCCAGAGCCTGGCACTTTCTAGGTAAGTGTTTAACCACTGAGCTATATCCCCTGCCCTCAGGCAGATATTTTGTAAAATATTCTTCAATTTGGATTTCTGTGATGTTTTCCTTATACTTAGAGACTGAGGTTATGTGTTTTGGGGGGGAAGAATACCACAGGGTGGCATGATGGTCTCATTACATCATATCAGGAGGTACATGATATTAGCAGTGATGCTCATCTTGATTACCTAGTGAGGGTAGTGTTTGCCAGGTTTTTCCACTATTTTCCTTTAAGCCACACTGGAGATGTGGGGGGTATGGAGTGATTAGGCTCCATTTCCTGAAAAGGGCATAGATTCTTGTGTTATTTGGAATTCTTGTGCAGGAAAGGTTTGTCTCAGTTCACCACATCTATTTATTCCGTTATTTATTTTATGGGTATGAAGTTGTGTGTATTTGTTTTTAAAACTTTGTGTTATAGTCCAATATTATGCTATTTGTATTGTTGCTCCATCATTCCAACTTTAGCCATTAGGAGCTCTTTCTCCTTGGCTCTGATGACCCTTTGGCATATTCCAATCATTGTGGAGATCTTAGGTCATTATGGAGCGGCTTAGGTCCTCACTAAGCACTAAGTTGCTGAGGCTGTCCTTGAACTTGCAATCCTCCTGCCTCAGTACCCCCCCCCATCTCAGCCTCTGGGATTACAAGTATGCACCACCACACCCAGCCAGATGTTTGTTTTCTCCAAATCATGTTAAAAGTTGTCACCCTACCATTTACCTTTAAGCAATTCTAATAAATCTTTGAATTTTCCATCTGAGCTATATCCCCAGCCCCCACAAATCTTTGAATTTTTATTTTAGCTCTTCTGAGTCCAAATTCCATTGACAATGATCTGACTTTCTGATACAGGATTCACATTCCAATGGAAGTCTCAAACATTCCCAGGTTTTCTTTGACTGTTCCTTTACCCCACTCTAACCTCCTTTCTTCCAAAATTTTTGGTGATTCTTGGATTACCCTGTAATCTCCCAAAATAATTCTGGCAGCTCTCTGTACTTATCCTGCTGTTCCAATCCAGTTCAACTGTCTTATATTAGAATTGCTTATAGTGCTTGTGAGTTTCTAAGGGGATAGGGATCAGAGCTTAGTCATCTTTGTGTCCTCTGCGATGCCAGAATATGTCTAGTCTCCAATGTCTCCCAAGGTTAAGGCACACACTCTACTTTGTTCATAATACCTGAATATCACATCCAACTATTTAAGAATTAAATTCACTTGATATCTTTCTACTATCCAAGAACTTGGCAAGTCAAAGAACTGGAGGCTTCTAGAGCTTTCTTGCATCCAGTGTGGGGGAAATCTAATCCTGTACTATCTCCCAGCTACAAGTAGGAGTGGGCTACTGTACATGTTGGCATCATCTATAGGATCAAGCCTGCTCTGCCTGGGGCTCTAGAAATCTGGATATCTTCTCTGATGATCTTGTTCATGATCACAAGATGAGAGGTGGATTTATCCAGTGAAGAAGCACAGGAGACATTGTGGGTAAAAAGAAGCAAAGGGCCTTCATAGCATCCTGGCCTAATTTCAGCCATCTTGAGTGATAGAGTTAGGAAGAAGTATTTATGTAGAATGAAAGACAATGCTATGGCACTCAGAAGGCACTGTAAGAGTGGTACTGGGGGAAGGGATTTGGTTAAAAATCTAAGACAGCAATGTGAACATATAGAACAAGAAAACATAGACCCCTCCACACATCTGGAAGCCTGCAGATATATGGAGGAGCCTATGGCTGTTTTTAAGAACATGATTATCCTCATAAAACTGAAAACTGGCCCCTTAGCAGTCACCCCCCTGCCTGAAAGTTCTTCTTTAATTGGGGAGGTTTTATCTCCAGAAGCATTATTGGGTGTCCATCATGTGGATATTTCTCTGCCAAAAGGGGGAGCCAGCTCTCTGCCATTGGAGCCATATGTCAGGTACTGAAGAGCTGGCATAGATCTGGGAGGAAAGGAGGACCTTTGCTTTGTCAAAACATGCAACAGCTGAAGTCTAAAATACAGACTGAGGGGCTGGGGCTGGGGCTCAGTGGAAGTGGACTTGCCCGGCATAAGTGAGGCACTGGGTTCAATTCTCAGCACCACATATAAATAAATAAATAAAAATAAAGGTCTGTCAACAACTAAAAAAAAAAAAGCTAATTAAAATAAAATACAGACTACAGAGTTTTTTAGTATTCAATGGGTCTCATGTGAGGATGCCGAATTCATTCCAGCAATAAGGACCCTGTCTTTCGTGACCTATTGTGAGGATTGCCTTAGGCTTGAGCCTAAGCAACTCCATTTTAAAAACTGCAGTTTGAAACCTGCAGTCTCATCAGGCATACTCACAGAGCCCTCCAGTATGGCCATAAACAAGTTACTTCCACTCACCTTGATAAATAGAGTAAAAGATTGAAAGGGGGTCAAAAGCCCCCAAATTTAGTATAAATAATAGAGCTGATGAACAGGGATTCAGCCAGCTGAAACAAGGATGCATTCAGTGGTAGAGTGCTCGCCTAGTATGCATGAAGCACTGGGTTTGATCCTCAACACCACATAAAAATAAAAAATAAAGGTATTGTGTCCACCTAAAACTAATATATATATATATATATATATATATATATTAGGTAGCCTGCCCTCTGCTGGTGACTCAACAAACACCTACTGAATACTTTTAGAATGTCAGGAACTTTGCTTAATATTTGGTTTACAAAATTCAGTGATATTCTGCTGAGCCTTCTCTCCAGGAGCTCCCCATTCATGGGGAACATGACAGTGCAAGTGATAACAGAGGTGTGAAGAATATATATATATATATATATATATATATA